CCTCCAGGGGTCAGGGTGGGCATGGCCAGGATGGGCGTGGCCATCTCAACGTCACACATGTCGGGGGCTCTTTTGTGGCCTGAGTGCTCTGCCAGTGAAAACGGGCTCCTTAGCTCCGTTTTTGGGCTGCCACGGCCTCCTGCAACCCTCTGCCAGCGAAAATTGAGCTCAGGTGCCTTCACTGTTTCCAGGGTGGGCTAGATCTAAGTACCCTGCAAGCTGGATCTGGCCCCCGGGCCTTGAGTTTGACACCCCTGGTTAGGCTAACACTTAAGTAATATTACAGAATAACAGAGTTGGAAGCAGTGGTGGGTCCCGGATCCCATTCCAACCGGTAGGGTTGGAACGGGCCAGACGTCACCCACATGGATGTGTGCGATGCGTGCGTACATGCGCTTGGCGCACGAATGCATTGTAGTTGCAAATGATGCTTCCGCAAGCCTCTGCGACGCTCAAGAATCAAGGAAAGAAATTTTCCTGGACTTCTACCCCATTACCTTCTTGGAAGGAGTTGTATCTTTTTTTAAAAGGTGACTTTGTGCATTCGTGTTTTTATAACGGGTCTCTTACTAGCAATGTAAGGCTGTTTTCAAAGTGTCTGGATTAAGTCGTGTGCTACTACTGACACTTTCCTGGCTAGCCTTTTTTGCCCTAGGGGGAAAAAAAGGCAAATTGCTGCTAGTTTCTTTATTTATTCTATTTGTTCCTGGCAATTCTTCTCTGCTGCTAAAGGTCAGAAGAAGCAACAGAGAAGGGAAGCGGAATCTAAATGTTCTTAGAAAAAAAGCCAACCATCACAAGTATTGGTGAATTTACTAATAAACTTATTCATTATTAGTTGCACTGGCTTTTTACATGGTCAAAACACCAAGTATTTCAAATGGATAGCTGCTATTGTAACTTCTATTTTTAAGGGGCTACAGTATGCATTGTTTTACGTCCTACGCTGCACTAGACAAATTTGATAAAGGATGGGATGGTTTAGATTAGATTAACAGAGTTGGAAGGGACCGTGTAGGTCTTCTAGTCCAACCCACTGCCCAAGCAGGAGACTCTACACCATTTTTGACAGATGGCAGTCCAATCTCTTCTTGAAAGCCTCCAGTGATGGAGCTCCCACAACTTCCGAAAGCAACTTCTGTTCCATGGGTTTATTGTTCTCACTGTCAGAAAATTTCTCCTTACTTCTAGGTTGAATCTCTCCTTGTTCAGTTTCCATCCATTATTCCCCATCTGGCCTTCGGGTGCTTTGGAGAATAGCTTGACCCGTTCCTCTCTTTGGCAGCCCCTCAAATATTGGAAGACTGCTATCCTGCCTCCCTTAGTCCTTCACTTCACTAGACTAGCCATGCCCAGTTCCTGCAACTGTTCATCGTATGTTTAGCCTATAGTCCCCTAATCATCCTGGTTGCTCTTCTCCTGCACTTTTTCTAGAGTCTGGTTGAAAGCTGAGTCCTAGGAATATTGCCTGTTTGGTGTTGTTGGTCCTAGTTTTTCATGTAGTGGCGTCAATTCCAGACTCCTATGTTGGGAGGAAACCAGCCAGCTTGTGACTCTAACTTAAAATGACTTTTAAAGCAAAAGGTTGGGGAGACAAACATTCCAGTGTTATCTGACACTGGGGTAGTAAGTAATGTTTGGCTGAACTGTGTTACATTAATGTTCAGAATCCTAAATCTTCTGGTGGTGCAATATATTTCTACCCTATAAATTATTTTTTCGTCATCTTTCCATCAGTTGACTCAGTTTATTTGTTCTCTGCATAGCAAACAAACAAGGGTTTGTTCTATGTTTCGTTTTTTCAAATGTAGGAAATGTGGACAATTACATAATGTCTGCTAACATTACTCAGTTCCCCAGTTGTCAGGGATGACTGCTAATGGACAAAATGAAGAAAAATCCAGTATACTTTTAATGATCAGCGAGAATGTATGTGTGTGTCAGAGTGTCTACAGAAATGTGTGTGAGAGATAAATTATCCCAGATAATTTTACAAATAGAAAGAAAACCAAAACAAATAGATTGAAAGCAACAAAAAGCTTTATTTATTGATAAGAGGCTTCTTATCAATAGACTGCATGCGCATGTAGGATTCTCTAGGAAAAAAAGAGTGGAACAGGTAACCCTTAAATACACAAAATGACATCTCAAAATACGTCATCAAGCAATTACAAAAATACATGTGTGTGTTACATGTGATCCATGTTCATGCGAATAACAATGTTGGCAGATATCATGCGACTGGCACGGAAATATTATGTCTCAAAATACATTTGAATACTTTTAGGTATTCAAGCTTTTGGGGGAGGCGTTAGACCCAGTCCTTATAGAGAATAAGGACAAAAAGAAGGTCATGCCTTCAGTCACCAAAAAATCTGATTGTTAGGGTTCCAACTTTTATAGAAAGCAGCCCTTTCGGGCTTCAGACCAACCTTCCACATCAGGCTCCTACCAGAGGTCCTACTCCCAGAACGCTGACAGGTCTCAGGACCGTCAGTCCTTTCGAGACAGAGACCGCCAGCAGAACTACTCCAAGCCGCCCTTCCGTGGGGGGGTCTGTTTCCAGGCCGGTATAAGTGGCTACCATTGGGGGGCTCCCATAAGAGGGTGTCTCCAGCTGTTCCACGCCCAATGGGAGCACATCATATCAGACCAGAGGGTCCTGCAAACAATCCGCATAGGTCTGACATTAGAATTCCTTTCCCCCCTGCCCCGCCACTTCATCTGGTGTCCAACCCCCACCTGTCCTGTCAAAAGAGCTCTGATGGAACAGGAGATCTTCCATCTCAAATAGATCAGAGCCATAGAACCGGTACCCCCGGAACAGGGTTTTATTCCATCCTCTTCCTTGTCCCAAAAAGCTTGTGTGTGTGTGTTTGTGTTTGTGTGGAGGGGCAATAGCAGTAGCAGTTAGATTTATATACCGCTTCATAGGGCTTTCAGCCCTCTCTAAGCGGTTTACAGAGTCAGCATATCGCCCCCACAGTCTGGGTCCTCAT